TAGAACAAAAATTTTATAGGGATTTTATATTAGTCACCTGATCTTAAATTTCATATTGAATCTATTATTATTATTATTATGCCGAAATCAATAACTTAATCGAATCGGCCGAAAAATCGATCGACTAATTTTTTGTTAGGTGTCCCAGAAATTATGAAAACAGCTGTAATCGAATTTAACATAACCGATTTATATTCGGTTGTGATTTTTGAAACATTAATAAAACCGGTTCCAATCACTACGTCAATTTGGCAAGGAATATTTTTACTTAGTATCCCCGAAGATGATTTCATAGTCAAAAATTTTGAGATATAGAAGGAGATGCTCCAAATGCTGGCTGCATCATATAACAATGTCTTTATTATGTACTAGTTAACTATGACATTACTGGGAATAATGATATAACTAAAAATTAATATAAAATGAGATATAAAATCAAGTAAAATTAATACAGTCCAACCTCTTTACAATCACACTATTGGGATCATAAAACTTTTTAAAAATGTGCTTATAAAGAGTTGTGCTTATATAGAGTTTTTTTATATATTAATAATAAGTTGGTTTTATGATAGATGTGCTTATAAAGAGAATTTTTATATAATGTGCTTATATGGGAGGTGATTATTCTGCTAAAAATGGTGATAAACAAGTATATAACCCAGTGGAGATATTACTCAGGTATGACTATATTCTGTTCCTAATTTTGCTACCTTATTATATTACAAATTGTCACCAGTTTTTACAATATTTAATGCAGCATCATCCAAAATTATGCCTAATGGTTGCAATGCGGTTATAAATGGTTTCGCTACAATGGTTATACTGTTTAAACTTACCCACTGCAAATCTCTTATATAAGAAAATCCAGGACCTCCACTATCACCTGCCAAATTAAAATCTCGAATATTAGATTTTGCAACGTATAAATTCGTTGAAAATTGAAGTTCGCCCTTAAGAACACCAATGTGAATACCATTTAACGCTATAATTTCTCCACAAACAATTCCCGAGGAGTAGCCAGCTTTACATATATGAACTCCATAACTCTGCAAATCTTTATGGCCTGCAACTAATAGTTCTTTAACAACTCTCTTATCTGATCTAGGATTATTTGGATCAATAAATTCATGATGTATTATATTCGCCGAGTGCTTGATCTCTTGATGCCGTATTTCGATTAAACCATATTCAGGATTCATTTTACACTGTCCTGCAGTACCAACAAGAACCGGCTTTTCTTCTCCATCAACTATTGCA